TCGTTGCGTGGTAGTCCAGCCCGAATTGGTAATAAGCATGGATTCATTCCCGGTATTGATTTTTTTGCGTAACAATGACGGACTGAGAAGCGATCACAACATCAACTGGGACCTGCAGGTATAACCACCAAATCTCTTAATTATTTTAGGCATCCGCTGGCCTGGTGACTGCGTTCTATATAAAAGGTACACGACGTGCCCGTTTGAACCTTTTCTGCGGATGTCTCTATTGATGGCTTGGAAAGAGAATCCGAAACGTCAGACGAATAAACATGTCTTTCTGCGGTCCAGTCTTGCATTTTGGAATTGTCGGTATTGTAATTGGGTGACTTAAGAGCAGTAGTATACCAAAACCCTCTTTGTCTTATGCAATCATATCCCACAGAAGGGTGTGATCATTATAATATCTATATACAAGTCCATAACCCAACACTGACCGGACTTTGATAGTGTCCCATTATCGTTTTTACACTTTTGAGGATCTTCCAGATTGTGATGGAGGATTAATCCACGAACACCTGTGAAGGTGATACAGCAACTACTCTGATTTTGGCCTATTAAATTATTCTTAGTTTGTGGTCCCACTGACGATAACAGCTAGGTTAAAATACTCCCAGTCTACCATTAAAAATATCTATAGAATTGGTGTCTGTATCGTACAGGGACAGCTGTTCACACCGACCACAATTGCACAGATAGAGTCTAGAAGAACTCGCTGATTGAGTCTCCTTCGTTGCAAGAGGCGGACATGGGTATTGAAATAGATCGGCTCTAGTTGTAGGCCTCAATTACATCACGAGTCACTGTGTAGATTAAAACTACTTGAAGAATCGGGGAGTCGTACTATACTGCCCATCCACCTACAAATTAAGTTAACTGTTTGCTTGGTCACCAGCGTTGCCCGCTTTTGCCTTATGCAAACTCATCTTCATGTTTAGGACGTGTTTCTGTAAATTACACCTAGAGGGCGATAGACGAGCATTATCCCGAGTTTGTTGGAGATGAGCAGCATGATGCCCATGAGTTGATGATGGATCTCCTTGACGTTCTGCATGAGGACTTAAACAAGGCTCAACCGCAACACAACACCGAATTGAAAGATGCCGGTGACCGTCCCGACGAAGTAAGTCATTCCATATTGTTCAGTTTTCCCGCTTACGTTATTTGCTTTCTAAATATTGAAAAGGCATGCATACTATGAAATAGTGAAGTCATGCGCTTCGAAGTATTTTCTTCTTGTCTGCGAAGAAGAATGGCCGCGCAGGATTC